GCCAAACAGCCCACTAAGGGGGAAACGCCGGTCTCGCGAGCGGGGGTTAAAGCGAAAGGGAGGGGGGGGGAGAGCGAGCGGAAAGAGCGCGAGCACCGTCAATGAGCGACGTCTGAGGGAAGCAGCGCGAGACGAGGAGGAGCAAAACCGCCGCCGCGGAAGGAACAAGCTGGTAGACTAATAAGTGGGCGGGAATATAAGAGAGGGGCGTGGCTTTGTCGTGTGGCTGTGAGGCAGTGAGAAACCCCCCCCCCAAAAAAACCGTAAGGGGGTGCACGTGTGGGTCCCTTTAGTCCCAGTGAGACCGAGGATGCGGGAATGGATTGGGGATTTCAAGGTGCCTGCTTGGAACAAACGTTTATTAACCTTGATGGCACTCCTCCGATTGAGATCCAGGCCGATTGAATTTGGATGTTAAATTCATCAGGATAAAATCTGATGTGGGGAGAGAGGACAAAAAGTGGGGTGGGAAATCGTCTTTATTTCACTTGTTCCTGAACTAAGCTTTTTTTTAGTTAAGAGTAAGGTAGTTGAAATTCCTCTTTCTCAAAGTTGTTAATATCGACACCCAGGAGTCGATGGGTGGGTCTTTCCAAGGGTTCAGTGTTGTTATTTGTAGTACTATATTATATATTACAATTTTTTTTAAAAATTTGATTTATATGCCGCCCTTCTCCGAAGACTCAGGGCAGCTTACAATGCGTTAAGCAATAGCCTTCATACTTTTGTATATTTATACAAAGTCAGCTTATTGCCCCCACAAACTGGGTCCTCATTTTACCTACCTTAGAAAGGATGGAAGGCTGAGTCAACCTTGAGCCTGGTGAGATTCGAACTTACAGTAATTGCAGACAGCTAGTGTTAATCACAATGCTTTTAGTCTGCTGAGCCACCAATGCTTGGGGTCAGTAAGCTGAACAGTTTGCCATAAAGCATTCTGCTTGAGAACAAAGTGTAGCTCTTCTAGGGTCTAGGCAATATTATCTGGTTTCCTTTCTTCCCCTGAAAGAAAGTAAAAAAAAAAAAAAAAAAAACGGAAGGGGGAGGGAGAGTGATGAATCAAAGCAGAAGTTCAGCTCTTACCCTGAAGAGATGGCACTTGAGGCAAAAAATAGTAAAGTTGTCCTTTCCATCCATAAACCTGGGCTGCTGTTTTGTTTTAGATGTTGATAAAGCGGAGTGGTCAGGCAAACTGAAAATGAGTTTTGAGGAGAAATTGCAGATCTAGTGGAAATGTGCCAAGATGGAATAAAGTATAGTTTCTGCAATGAGAAGTTTTGCAAGTTTCACTGAACAGAAAAGTAAGTAAAAGCCTTGCAAGTTTATTCATGTGCATCACATATGTACACAAATCATTTCAAAGACTCTAAATACTAAGGCTATGTATTCAGAGCACACAGCAGAACAGATTCAGAACACATAGCATTTGCCAAGAATACTTTAAAACAAACACTCCTTTTCCCAATATTGTGTATGATCTTGATAATAGACAGCTGGTCAGGTTTTTTTTGATTCGTGTTCCCCAAGAAGATACTAATAAAAATGTAAAATTGTGAACATATTATATGGTCTTCCACTTTTGCCTTTTGTTCCAGGATGTTGCCAAAAATTGAGTCTGAATTCAAAATAGGATTTGGTTTGGAAGTGAATTTTTCAGCAGTAATGATAAGGTAAGCTATTTGAATATATTGAATTCTAATGACTGGCTTGCATCTAGAGCTCCACAGAGATATGATTTAAAATTAAACAAAAGCTATGAGCAATCCTACATTTATTTTTAAAGGAAGTTTATATATCTAATATCTACAGTACAGGGAAGAGATGTCATCAATATTCCAATGATGCCCAGTTATACTTAGTGTCCTATCCATGTATTCAATAGATCTAACCTTGCTTAACTTTATCAAGATCAGCCAAGATTGTCAGAGAGCTGCTTTTATTCAGCTCTCTTATGTGTATGCCTGATTATTTCAAATTAGAATTGATCAAACATAATATCTGCTTCTATTAACCAAAGTTTTAGTCTGGCAATTTTTATTTCCATGAAGCTACCTTTATTGCTGTACTTAACTTTTTCTTCTTGTGCCATATCTGTCATAGGACGTTGGTGATCATGTTGGTGATCCTATTTTCATCAACAGCCGCACAAGAAAGTGCTGCTGAGTTTTCCAGTCCCTTAGATTTTGAAGCCAATTATTAACTAGCTTGTCCAATTAATTCAATTTTCTGAATGTGCATGATATATTGAATTATAAACTAATCAAACAATGTATTCCATCCTCTAGCTTAAAATGTAGATAATGGCTAAATATAGCCATTATGGTTTGTTCAACAATTATAGATAAAACATAACATACAAAATTTATGTAATCTTAGCAAGTTTCAAGACATGTAGTTCAAACTTAATATCTTAAGACAAATTGTCAAAAGAAAGCTCAGAAAGCAGTAAATAACAGTTATAACAAAACACCCTGTGTCTCGGACAACAGCGTAATTCGGCAAAAAGAGAAAAGATTCCACTGGATAATGTAGATTGGGGTCTCCAACCCCTGGGCCACTACTGGACCTTGAATTGTTCAGAACCGGGCCACAGAAGTGGTGGGCAAGCACATACACATCCCCATTTGTGCAAGCAGTGTATGAGCATGTGCACATGCAGTCCATTCGCACAAACAATAGATGTGCATGCCTGCCGCTCATGCAAATGGAGCTGCACACTTGTGCGCTCACCTGCCACTCACATGGAACCATCCCCTCTCCTCCCACCACCACCGGGCCACAAAGCCGGAAAAGTTGGGGAACTGATGTAGATGCTTGAGGCCTTTCTATCTTGAACACTGATTCTTTTTTTCCTCTGCAACATCTGCAAGGATTTAAATAAGAGAGATTTCTATATATATATTTATCATTAGATTTTCTGCCTCTTTTAAAAAGTCAAAATTGTCCTACCATGTTTCCCCGAAAATAAGACCCTGTCATACACACACACACACACACACACACACACACACACACACACACACACATATATATATATATGTAGGTCTTTGGTTATTCAGGTTTTCTCCCGTGTAAAATTGGAAATGTCTTGGTGACGTTTCGACAAAGTCTCATTCGTCATCTTCGGTGTTTTCGGCTTCGTGCTTCTAGGAGCAATGTGTGATCGCAGCTGTTTCTTTCTTTTAACTGCCAGTGGGGGTGTGAACTGATTGGCTGGGAGCTTGGCTGTGTTCTGATTGGGGGGGAGGTGTGTTCTGATTGGTTGGGGGCTTGGCTGTGCTCGGTTTAGTCTGAGTTGCAGGAGGATTTGAGCTGGTGAGCTGCATTGCTGTTTGGCTTCACGTTCGTGGTCGTGCCACATCTTCATGGTGTCAGTTTGCTTCATGTATGGATTGGAGGGGTTTAAAGTGGCTAATGATGCAACGTCTTCCCTGGTCCAACACCTTAAAGCCACAGGACATGAAATTGACTTTAAAAAGACCAGAACTATCGCCAAAACTGAACACTTTAACAACAGAATAATCAGAGAAGCCATCGAGATAGAAAAACACCCACACAGCATGAATAAATGAGATGGTATCTCTCGCCTACCAGCCATTTGGAAACCCGCCCTTATTGACAAACGAGTCCCTAACACAAAGAATGTGTTAGACACCAGACCCACACTCACGAAAACCACACAGGATGTAACCACCACATATCCACACAAAAAGCAAACTCAAACCCACACCGATGATGAGGCACGACCACAAACCAGAAGCCAGACCACAGCTGCATCATTAGCCACTTTAAACCCCTCCAAACCATACATGAAGCAAACTGACACCCACCATGAAGATGTGGCACGACCACGAACGCGAAGCCAAACAACAGCAACGCAGCTCACCAGCTCAAATCCCCCTGCAACTCAGACTAACCCGAGCACAACCAAGCCCCCACCCAAACAGAACACCCCCCATCCAATCAGAGCACAGCTAACCCCCCATCCAATCAGAGCACAGCCAAGTCCCCACCCAATCAGAACACACCTCCACCAAATCAGAACACAGCCAAGCTCCCACCCAATCAGTTCACACCCCCACTGGCAGGTAAAAGGAAGAAACAACTGCAATCACACATTGCTCCTAGAAGCATGAAGCCGAAAACACCAGCCTGAAGATGACGAATGAGACTTCGTCAAAACGTCGCCAAGACACTTCCAATTTTACGTGGGAAAAAACCCAAATAACCAAAGACCTACATACAAACACCCGCGAAAACCTCAGAAAACAAATATATCTATATCTATATATCTATATCTATCTATCTATCTATCTATCCCTGAAATAAGCCTTATTGCCATGCGCTCAAAAGCCCAATGGGGCTTATTATCAGGGAATGTCTTATTTTGGGGGAAACAGGGTAAGTATTTTGAGATAAATTTAGTTTTCAGTAAAATCTGTTTTCTTTTCCTATAATTCAGTTTCTGTGATAGAAAAAAGTCATTCCAAAATTTCACTTATATTTAACTTAATCTGTATTTCCATTTTGCATGTCCATATTTCTCAACCACTTACTTGTGATCATATTCTAACTCCCCAAACATCTCAGCAGTGTTTTAATTTAGCAACTGATTAACCTCAGAAATGATTCTTAAAAATTTTCTCATCTATACTGTAATTGTTTTGTTTTATTTAGAAAATAAAAATACAAGGCACTTAACATTCATATGACGATAAATGAAATTGCAAAGTTACTAGGAACAAAATCAGAGAATAAACTATATTCTGAAAGAATATAATCACTGTATTTAATTGACATTTGCTATTTAAAAATTTTTAAACAGCTTTTGAAAATATAGCCTTCTCCTCCATAGTATTTAAGACTTGTATATAGAGGAATCATCCAAACTTGTATATAGGAGGAAGCCAATGTATTTCCTGGGTGTGAATTGATTTGAATTAGTTTAGGCATCTGTGCATAAAAAATTAATTTCCTCTGAGACATTTTAAATAGTTTCTGTTGGTTTAATTGCGTGGTTCCTTCTGGTTGGTCCCTATAGCATCATTATTCATGGATTTTAGCCAATGGAAAAGATCTGTCTCCTCACCAGTAAGTAGCAATTATAGTGATGTGCCTAAGAGAAATAGGAAGAGATTTCAGAAATACTCAAGTATTTCTGTAGAATTTAAAGAAGCGTCTTACCACTTGTATTAAAATATTTACTATGATATCAGGGATGAACCTGATTTTCCTAGGTTACTTTCTGATAGGTCTGGCTTGGGGAAATCTAAATGATAACGATGACAGCTCTTCCGCTGTTTTAGAAAAAGAGCAACCTGTTATAACAAAAGAATATTTTAGGGAAGAGTTTGATGATGAGGGTAAGTGATATTTTCCTTTCTCGGTCCTAGAATATAACTATTAACTTCTAAATCTTCTTCATAGTGTCATCCAATCTCAGATTTATATTATTGCTTTCTTTTTACATTAATAAACTATAATGAATTTTTGTATAGCATCATATCATGCAATGATCTGTATGCATATTTATTAGTACTGTAGAAATGTATAAGAAAGACAGAAGTCTAGCTTGAGCCACACTTTTCTGAGGATAGAATAGAATTTTTAGATGGATATTATAAATCTACTGAACGATGCTGGGAAGGGAGAAGAACAAATAAGGGATATGGAAAAATGTGTCCAGGATCCCTTATGCAGTGTCTTAAATAATGATTCTCAGCTATTTAAAAAATAATAGACTTTTTTCAGTAAACTTTTAAAAAGATATCAGTGCATTTTCTGTAACTTCTAAAATAAAAATATTAAAATTGGTACGTCATCTGTACTATAGATGTTCTCTCTATGCAAAAATAAATCATTTTGTATTAACTGTCCCGATTTCAGTTTCTTTCCCTTATGTCAATTCTTAAGCACTTCTATATGCATTGAAATTTTATTTATAGCAACGATTTAAATAATGATAAATTCAAATTTATGTAATGCATGTTTTGGCTTTTGGCTTGATTTAGCTTGATTAATTCTTGAATATCTGCTTACTAAGGAAAGAAATATAAAAATATAGGGTTAAATATATTGTATGTCCTTCAGTCATCTCACACCCCATTTCATCAGTCCTTCCAGTTTATTTTTATCTAGGAAGATCAATACAGGTTGTTACAACTGTAAATCCCTTTGTTTAGGACATTTGCTTACTCAAAAGTTTTTGTTACTTAAATTATTTCCAGCTTGAACTGTGCTTTGCCCTTAGTGAGATTTTCTTATACAATAGGTAAAATATAAATACATTAGTTTTTTTATTATCTCTGCATATTTAATTGTAGATTTAGTGATTTAAACATGGAACAACTCAGGCAATTCACTAACATGATTCAACATGCATTATAGTCCCTTGGGTCTAGGAGCAGTTATCACAAGCTCCAGATGGCTTTTGAACATTCCAGAGTAAAATGCATTTTATGGAGTTGTTTTTAATTATACGTATTATTGATAAAACTTGAATTATTTTTAAAAGTTTATTCTCTTTTTCTTAACATTGCAGTAAATAAGTTATATAATATGCATAAGGAAGAAAACAACTGCAATTTTAATAATTTTTGTATATCAAGCTACAAAATAGGCTACACAATAATAAATGAGCTATATTTCTTAAAAATCTTCTTGTTGTTATAAGTTCATATGCATTGTAATCAAAGGTTTATTACATACTATATCCAATAACATGAATCAAATTTCACAGAAAGTGAAATAATACTGCTCTGATATCTTTTGTAAAATTGAATTTTTCTTTTTCAGATGGATGGCAGGATCGATGGGTTCTATCTAAACATAGAAGTGATTATGGTAAATTTCGGATAGGATCAGGAAAATTTTATGGTGACAGAGAAAAAGATATAGGTAAAGTAATACATTTTTTTTCAGGCAATTATTAAACTTTAGGTTTTTTTGCAATGTTTCCTAATGAATTTCTGGATTTTATTATTCAGTTTTACGCAATTATTCCCATACATTTGGCTAATGCTAAAATATCTGCATAAAGTATCTTCTACCAATTTTTGCATAATATGTTCCAAAAAAGATTGTGGATTTTTACAGAAATTTGCATGCTACATCATATCATCATTTTTAAAATTAAGAAAATTAAAAAGTTACCTGTAATTTGACAACAGATACTGGAGTTAGAAGAATTCAAAATCTTACTGCTCGGACTCAAGACTTATTGGGCCTATTCAAACTAGCTGAATCTTTTACTCTAAAATTTAATATTAACTCCAATCATCTTCAGTTTAAATCTATTGTATTTGTATAAATCTTAATTCTACTGTCTGTGCTAAACATGTTGATTTCAATGTACATTTTCCAAATAAATGCTTTTATATTTTAAATTGATCCATGTTAGTTGTCCAATTGCTGTTCTACCATTACACGTTTCAGTTAATACATATGCTTTAACAGTACAGATTGTCTCATATCTAGGTAGATTATTTCCTTTCTTTAGTTAAAAATTGTGTCCGTTTAATTCTACCATGCACTATATCAAATGTTTCTCAAGTTTGAAAATAAGTCTTCAGAAAATGCTGCCATGCATTAGTGGTGGCTTGGGCTTTAGTTAGTTTATCCTATTCTATATAGAATATTTTTAGTGTTACTAATATATACTTAAGATTGATTCATACAAAAATAATTATAGTTATCTGTTACTAGTTTACTAAGGATAATCCAATCCAAGCCTAATCCTGACTTTTCCCAGTGTTGGGTCTGTGTAAAAGAGAAGAATGAATTCTGAAATATCCCAGAAAATCCTCTAATATCACCTTCTAGATTCAGATGTATTGGAGCAATTATAAATTATGCCTCCAAGTCCCTAAGGAAATGACCAGAAACCAATACCACTGGTATTGCAAGGTGTACTAAATGATTCAGGAAAACTAAAAACGAATTGCACTCTATTTCATATAATCCATCGGTATGGCATCCATTGCAAAATCAAGTTGGAAGCCTGATTTAAATGGAGCCAAATAATCAAGATTGCTGTCCAGCTCTGAATTTATTTGTATACTGAACAATCTCTGCTTTGTTGGGTCATCATTTCAGAAATATTTCATTATCTAAACAGAATAACAAAATAACCATGGCTGGACAATACAGAGAATGAGAGCAACTTCAGGATTCCTGCTGGCTTCTCCATTGAGTTTTCTTATGGAAAACTGGCAGACATCATCAGAAATCTTCCTTCCTCCCTCTAATTCCTGACAGTTTATCCTTAATCTGCTAGTGAGGGAGGGATTGAGGATGTGAATGGGGGTGCAAATAAGTAATGATACACAAAGGTATATGAGAGGTGCTGCATCAGTTGGGAGATGGGTAAGTGCCTCAGAAATGCCACATGGTTTGAGTATGGCACATGAGTGGGTATCCTAGATTGGGAAAAATGCCCTGGTGTTTATGAGAGGTGCTATGCGAGTAGGATAGAGGATGAGGGGAACAGTGTGGTTTCAAAACAATGCATGGAGATTGCAGGGTGGCGAGAATTCCTGTACTGGTCAGGAATAGCACACATGTGTTGGAAAGGGCACCTGGGGATACTTCAGTTCAGGTCAGAGAAAAAGCATATGGAGGGACAGCATGGATCAGAAAGAGTGTGTGGGCTGCTCAAGAGGCAATGCAAGGGTCAAGAGAGGAATGCAGGAAGGGCATAGATTAGGTACAGTTTATGCAAGAGATATTGAGTGGGTCAGAGGAGTGGTGGGAGCACCATGGTTAAGGATGGGTACATGAGGTAGGGAAGGCATGCAGGGGTTGACAGGTTAGGAAGGGTATGTGAGAGTGTGCAAGGGTCGGAAAGGCACATGGGGTGGCATAAGTAGGAGGAGCACACAGTGAGGTGATATTAGCCAGGAAAGAGAGGCCGGCCTTCTTTCTTTCTTTCCTTCCTTCCTTCCTTCCTTCCTTCCTTCCTTCCTTCCTTCCTTCCTTCCTTCCTTCCTTTCTTCCTTCCTCCTTCCCTCCCTCACTGTTCCTTCCAGTAATTCAAGAATCTCACATTAATTTCATCATGTGGAATGTATCTATTCTCAATTTTATGCTGTCTTGAGGATCCATTAAGTAAATTTGAATATATTTGGCTCTTGCATAAAATATCTGATGTAATGATGGATTTGTCCTTGAATAATCACAAAAGAATTCCATCTATTCCTTTTGAGAAGAATTTCTGTGGCATCAAAGGATATCATTTTGGAAAAGGCAGTTGTATTGTCTGATGTTCTTCCTGAATTATTCACACTAGGATCATCATTCTGTATCAATTGAGGATTCATTAGGTAGAGGTTGCAAATTGCCTATCCTGGCCTTTCCCTTCATACAGCAGAAATTCAAGTTTCTCTAGGGAATAGGAATGAATGACAATGAGGGCAGACTTTGGCTGTGGCATCAACACCAACAAAAATATTATGAAAGTCATGCATTTTGCCTCACTCTTTCTTTATTGAGGTCTTGTTGAGGAACTCTCAGAGTAATTAATGTTTACCATATTCTTGATTTGATCTTTTGTTTTCTCTATCTTTTCATGTCTCCTCATTCTGTATGTTTCTTTGTGATACTGAAAATGTGGAGCTCTTTCATTCTCCATTTCTTCATCTCTCTTTCTTGCCATATCCTGACATTAGGTGTTATCTCTTGACCATAATGTCCCCTTTTCTTTTCATGTGACATAATTATGCTGACATTTATTTTAACTAAAATTTTAATTTAATTAATTTTTACCACAATGTTGTACATTGGCGTTCTCAACTCAGAATAGTTTTGAATCCCTGTCAACTTCTTCATTGAGTTGCAGGAAGCTGTTAGAGACTGATTAAAAATAGGATCATGTGATCTTCTGAAGGCTAGGGCAGGACCAATCTACCTGATCTCCTGTCTCTCGGCCTCCGGTAGCCCGCGATCACTAAGACACAGGAACCACACATAGTTTGCTCAGCAGTGTATCCTGGTTTATTAGTGACAACAGCTCATTCATGAAGCCGGATTGCAAGGCAATGCAAAGACGCGGCTATCGTACACTACCTGCAGCGTCCCTTTATAGAGCAGGCTCAACTCCGGTCAGCTGGGTGCGTTTGAACTTCCCGCTGCTCTCTTCCGGGCGCGCAGTAGTGACGTCCTCAACGCCGGCCCCATTGGCATCGCCGCTGATCGCTCGTCGTTCCTTACCAGGTTTCCTTCGCGAACCCCAATAAATCCCCGTGCTCCATAGACACCTAGCCGCGAACCCTAACCCCATCACCAGCACCCCGTGCCTCCCACACCCGCACCAACCCCCAGGCGGCTGCTGTATTCATGGCGTTCATGGTCATGGTGTCGAGTGCTGCTTGATGCTCGACACTGGCAACCGATAGAGGGACCAGTATAAACTGAAACAAGATGAGCAAGGGCTAAGATGTAATGGCTAATATATTTGACTGACACCAGAGAGATCCAGTTTCTACTCCATCTGCAGCCACAGCAGCTCATTGTTGACTTTCATCCCATCCTGCCCCACAGAATTGTTGTGAAGAAATATAAGATAGGTTTTTGGATGCATTCAGTATGTCAGGGTACCTTGGTTCAAAAATTGGTGCTCTATGATGCAAATTTTGCCCAGTTAATGTAGTGACAAAAGTTTTAGTAGTATATACATAGATAATATATAAATCACAATGAAACTGCAATCCTTACATGCAACCTGGGAAGCAGGTAAACTCAGGTACCTAAGAAGATATATAATTAAATTCAATAAAACTTACTTCTGAGTAGATATCTACAGTAATGCATTAGAAATGAATTTAATTTCTAGAATTTTCTTTATCAGAACTATTCTATATTACGCTGTAATAACATTACATGCTATATATATTAATAGAAATACTTTTGGAAAAAAGTAGAAAGTGAAATTATAATAATATATTTCTAAGCTATATTTATTAATATATTTCACGTGTCTCTAAAGCAGAAACAAGGAGGTATATATTATCTCATAATTTCCAGAAAAGTCACTGTAATCCCATATGGAAGAATAATAAAGCATATATAGAGTTCATGCCTGTAGCAAAGCACTTGATTGATAGCTTTATTTGGATATTTGAATATCATTTCTTTTTATAGGTCTGCAGACAACTCAAGACATTAGGTACTATGCAGTATCAGCAAGGTTTCGGCCTTTTAACAATGAAAATCAGACCTTAGTGGTTCAATATACAGTAAAATATGATCAACAGGTTGATTGTGGTGGGGCCTATATCAAACTTTTTTCTGTCGATGTGAATCAAGACACCCTGAATGAAGAAACACCTTATTATATTATGTTCGGTATGTTCTCTTAAATGCCTAATAATATTAATTTGAAGCAGAAATACGTTAGTGTAAATCTCACAGGAAATGAGCTCCTCTGAGACATTGCTTTTCAATATTTTTATCTGTTCCCTTATATTTGTAAATGAGTTAAATCAGTTTTATAGTAAGATCTATATAAAAATATGAAGAGATTTGCTGGGTAATGTTAGGGCGATGGTTTAGTGTACTATCTTGTTTTTGACCATGGCAGCTAAATAATTTCAGGAACCCACTGGGTGGGATACAGGGATACATACAACAGTTTACCCTAGTTGTATGTCAAAGAGTATTCCATACTGGAAATTCTAATTAAAATCATAGTTATTATTTAGCAATATGCAGATACTGTGCACAATTATCAGTATATTGGCATGTCCATGCCACAAATTTATTATTGCTTATGTGAAAAAAAATGTTCTTATAGGCATATTTTAAACTTACAGGCTAATATCATTGAGTACTTGTCTACTGCTTGAAGACAAAAATGTATAGATTTTGGAATTCAGATTTTCTTCATATGAATTTTTATTTTTATTTAATAGCATATGTTTCTAAAATGATATGACTCAGTTCAAACTAACTAGTGGGGAAAAGGGAAGCTATAGGTTTCTAAAATAAATATTATAATAAAATGTAGATTGTGGGGACAATATAGTTTCTGAGATCCTTGGAGACAGTAGATGATCTGAACTCATTCAAGATGCATTTCAAATTTGGACTCAAACAACATTGATTATGGATGACTGGCGGAAACAAGATCGGAATGCTGTGCCCACTTTTGTTCTCCTTGACTATCATTCTTGTGCCATTTAGGTGGGTGTGGGTGTGTATAATTCTGCCAGACTAATGTGGTATTCTTTTCTTCTAGGACCTGATATATGTGGAAAATATAAAAAGATAGTGCAAGTTATTTTGAACTATAAAGATGACTACTATTTTACTAAAAAGAACATTACATGTGAGGTACGATCAACGCCTTTCAGTGAATTACTAATATTTAATCTATCTTGCTGCAATTTGAAGCAGAATTGTTTGGGAGGTTGTTGACTAATTCTAAATAAAACTTTGTAAACTACTTCAAATATCAGAAGTTAACAGCAAGTCATTTGAAAAGTTAGCAAATATAGTATTTACTGTTAATACCCCTTATTTTAATGTATAAGTAGAGTGTTATTAACTATTTGCATGTAGTCTAATGCAGCAAAAAAATTGGTGATATTTTCCTAGGATTATTGTTTTCTTGGCATTGCACTGATAGATCCCACTAGTAGCAGACTTATTTTTTTAGACCTTATGAAATTTAATTAGCAAAACTGTCAGTTATACAGCACTGGAAAGACATTCCCATGTTTCTGTAACAATGTTTGTTTTGGGTTTTTTTTCAAGACGGATGACTTTACCCACCTCTACACACTAATTCTACGTCCTGATTTAACTTATGAAGTGAAGATAGATAATTATGTAGTTGAGGCTGGCCATCTAGAAGAAGATTGGGACTTCCTGCCTCCAAAAAAGATAATAGATCATGATCTGCCAAAACCTGATTATTGGGATGAAAGGGAAACTATTCCAGATCCCATGGATAAAAAACCAGAGGTACGGTTTCACTTTGAACTGCATGGTTTCACAGTCTATATCTATTTACCTGCTGTGTTTCACTGATAGTCTCTTATTGCGTACATTGAAATCAGTAAAGTTGGGACTGTTACCGATTCTTAATTAATTATAATAACAATATGTGATCCATAGTTTTTTTTGGTAAAGATTTATAGTTTAAGTGGTGCTTCTTTGATCTAACTTTATAGTGGATGAATTGGGACTAGACTATAAACTTTAAATCAGTATAAGATCTTGGCAACAGAATATGACTAGTATTTAACATTCTAATACTCACAAAAATTGAAAATGGAATGGTAGAAGAGACTTACTTAAAAGCCTTCATGTCTTCTTTTTCCTGGTCTCTCATCTCAATTATAATACTAATTATTTAAATTACCTGTATTTAACTTTAGACTGGCAGTGGTGAAATTATTACCCTTTCTGTCTAAACTGCAGAGTTTATATGAGAAGTATAAAGCTAAATTATATTTGGTGCAGCTATAAAATTGCTTAAAATGTCTGATAAGCCTCAAATAACAATCCAGTGAATTGCAGAACATTTTAAGAAAAGCAATTTGTCCATTGTTATATTACAGATTCATTCAAAACTGTTTTTGGAGTTATATTAATTGCATTCCAAATTCAGAAAAGGTTTCTAGTAGCTGCCACTCTGTAGTCATAAATCATCCATCATGTGAAGAATTAAATGGTTGGGTTGAAGCAAATATCTATTACAATATATTGCATTATCAGGTTCCTTGTTTTGAGTATGTTGAGATAATAAAATATTGCAACTAATCCTTTCCAATAGATATTTGATGACAAAACACTGTATCTTGATTCTTGAGTGAATCAAAATATTAAAATTATGGAAGCAGTCATAAACCATTTTTTGGAGAAATAGTACTAACTAATTTTCTTTTCCTTTGAAAATACTCATAGAAGCTAACTTACAATTAGTAATCTTGATGAAACTATTTTAGGACTGGGACCAACCACAAAGAATTCCTGATCCTACTGTGATAAAGCCAGATGACTGGGATGAAGAAATGGATGGGACATGGGAACCACCATTGATTCCAAATCCTGAATATAAAGTAAGAGTTTTATAAGTGAAAGTAATAAAATAGAGACTAACCTGGTGGTTATTTAATTGGCTATGTAATTTAAACATTAATTAAGATATAAGATATTGAATCTAGTTTTTTATTATTATATAAATCATATAAGTCTTTATTTCACTAGTTTTCATTTGCCCATTTCATTTATAAATTTACACTTGGCTTCATCATTCTTGACTCCTTACCTCTACTGATAATTCACTCATGCTTTCTTAATTTTTTAAAGAACAATTGTCCAATCCTTGAGGCACCTCATGATCCTGCATCCCCTTCCAAACATTAACTTCTCATCAGTAGAATAATCTCAGCTCAATGATGATAATTTTTAACTTTTTTTTACCTTCACTGCTTTTGTATTCTTATTCTTCTTTCTCATTTCTCATTTGTGTTTCATTTTTTATGAGGAAAGGACTTTCAGTGTGTAGCTTCACATGTCAAATTAATGTTTCTTAAAGCATAATTTGATGAGTAAGCCATAACCTGCTTATATGTTGAACTATAAATCATGCTTTGCAAATCACAATAGCTATCGAACTATAAACCATATTATCACTAGCATACTATTAGCTGTTGACCATTTAAATACTATTTAAACTTCTGTGGGATTTTCTCTCATCCCGATGTATTACCTGCACCCTCAATTACCTACATTGGATCCCTACTATATTTCAAAGTTTCATTTTAAAATATTCACTTCTCAGAACGGACGACAAATCATTTTTCTTTCTGTTTTTGGTAACTACGTTACCTTCCAAGATTTTCTATTATGACTTTTGTTCCTGTTGTCATTTTTATTATTTCCATCATGTTAATAGTTGTACATAGTATTCAACATAATATACACTTTTTAAAAGTTTTAACCATATTTTAAAATATTTCACTAAAAAGTCAGTGGTATGTTCCTTTTATTTCAATAGATTTCCACCTGTTTTACATATCTTGGTTTAAGTGGCTTTGGAAAGTGATATTCAAATTTATTTCCATTTTTTAGGGCATTTGGAAACCTCGTATAATTAAAAACCCCAATTATAATGGCATTTGGGTCCAGCCAGAAGTTGACAACCCTGAATACAAACCAGATCCTAATATTTACAAATATTATAATATTAGTGTCATTGGCTTAGAAATTTTACAGGTATGTATATTAAAAAGTTTGTAAAATATATTTATTGTTCAAATTATGAAGATAATTGGCAATTCTGGACATATTCTGTACCATTGTAGTAAGAAAAAAAAGCCTCTTCAGATAGTTCTTGACTTACGACCATTAATTTAGTGAATGTTCAAAGTTACAACAGCACTGAGCAAATGGTGGTTACGACTAGTCCTTAGAGTTCTGGCTGTTCAGCACCTCCCTTGATCACATGATTGTGATCAAGGTGCTTGGCAATGGACTGATATTTATGACCAGTTGCAGCACCCCCCACCCACCCCCAATCACTTGATTGCCATTTGCAATCCTCCCTGCTAGCTTCCCATGAGAGCAAATTGGGAAGCCAGCAGAAAAAGTCACAAGTCTGCCTTACCCATTTTCTGTGCCATATGTGCCACTTCCATCCCACTGTGCATCTTCCCTGTGCCTCACCATGCCTCCCGTCACTCATGCATTCCATGCACCCTCCTCCTTACTGCATCTCACACATTACTGTGCATCCTCTCTGAGCCTTAATGCAACTCCCTCACTTCCTTGTGCACCCTTCCTAAGCCTCATCATGCTTCTCTTGCACACCCTCCCCAACCCTCCTTGCCACACCTGCTTCACAAATCCCTGCACACATTCCTGACTCTCCCTGTGCCTCCTTCATCTCTCTGCACTTTCTCCCTGATCTTCATCCTGTTCCAGACCAAGCGCACACAAGTACACAGAGAGATTATTTTGTTCACTTTACTAAATGAGACTTGGAAACACACTTAGTTGCAGGATAGAGACAAGTTTCTTCCAAAGTTCCGACAGCTGGCCTTATAAGAGCTCCAATTCAAAGCAGCAAACCAGAGTTGTCAGGCAGAGTCTCAGGGTGAGGGCTTCTAGAAGATTTGTCAGCTGATCCAGGTTCAAAGCGAAGGTTCAAGGTTCACAAGGCACACGGACTATGAATCAACAGGCTGTTGTGATCAACAGACAGCTTATGTTTGCTGCTCCATTCTAACAGAAGCAGCCCCAGTGTAGCTTCTGTATGAGCAGTCTTGCAGAGCACCTTTGCTCTACTCTCTTTGCAGCCTGCAGAGCTCTTGTGATGGGAGGAGGTGGTAATTTCACATCCTCATTTTTGGAAAGCAACAGCAGCTGTGTCTACTGGTTGCTGGCCAGACTATCTCTCTGCCTGCTCAGATAGAAGTCTGTCCAGTGGTGCTGAAGTTGGCTGCTCGTATTACTCCCGGCATGCCTGGAGCTGGCTTCAGAACTGGCTGCTCATCATCCTGCCCCTCCTCTGACTCCAAATATGAGCGCACCATGACACTGCCATACTCACACCATCACACCCTTCCTGTCCCTTGAAGCACATCCTCATATCCTTGCAAACCCCCCCACACACACATACTCTTCCCCCATCCATGCAGCAGCTCCTTTTTTATTGACCTTCCTACTGCCTTTGCCACTGAGTTGGTTGTGAGAAGCCAGCAGGATGATCAAATGACTATGGATTCAGTCAACATCAGTTACCAGAACTGCAGGGATTGCCGTTGCTAAGCAATGCGATTGTGCTTTACAACCACAACCCTTAGTGATGTAAATTCTGGTCCCAATTACTATTATAAGTCAAGGACTAGCCATACTTTGCTTGCTTGCCTAGGAAAACAAAAATATTAAGAATCCTATTTATTTATTTATTTATTTATCTATTTAGAAATATGTATACTTTATTTCATAGTTGTGAAATTTTCATCCTCAAATCCGTCTACTAGTTAGTGTAGGAATCCAGATTAAAGTATCCTAGACAGAAGATTATCTTGCTTCTGTTTGAACATAAGCAAATGAACGTAAGCGAATTTTTCCATTCTTCATTGGCTGCACTCTTTAATTGTTCTTACTGTTAGGAAGTATTTTTTGAAGTATTATCTTCTTATAAATTAAATCCTTTATTTCGTACTCTGGTGTGACAGAGAACAGTTCTTGAATTATCACATTCTTGTAGATAGATGAAGAGTGCTTTCAATTCCCTTCTTGGTCTTTTCATAGCTATTTCTAGTTCCTTCAATACAAGATTGTATGTAATTACATGACTAAATAGATCTGCCATGTTTTATTTCAACAGGGAAAATCTGGTACAATATTTGATAATTTTCTTATTACAAATGATGAACAATATGCTGAAGATGCTGGGAATGAAATGTGGGGTGTCACTTTCGTAAGTAATTTCATAATGTATATTTATTGCAACATTTAAATTTCTACTCTGCCTTTATGAGTATCAGGCACTATACAAATATTATTAAAATAAAGCATAATGTAGTAAACTGCCAAAACCATAGTGTCATTAAAAAAATAGAAGGCTACATATGCAATAGAAGCAGTATTCACTGATTTGTGTTTTAAGTCTAATCATAGTGCATTATCATTCTTAATTTCCTTATGCTCTATGTTTGAATGTATGGATTTTTGAATAAAAACAGCTTTAAACAATATTTAACATTCCAACATTTCCCATGTTGATACCCTGGTGCAATTGATTACATAACCAAAAAGCTCAGTGACTACTAAGTGTTGCAGGTAGAAACAGACAATAAATTGAAGGGAAACTCCTGTTTTCCAAATAATTGGAATAGTGAATGGGCTCCACATCACAACATATTGTTGCTGAATTCTTTTGCTAATTAATCTATTATTGTCTATGTGACAGACAATACGGTAAGATGCCCGTTTAGATATTTCTCTGAATGTGTGCTACCATTAAATCCTGAAGAGGGAAGATTTGTACAGATTAGTTCCACCATATTGTCCTTCTCCTATTCTGTTTTGTCCCTTATTCTTCCCACCTTGGAAAAAATGTTAATGTAAAGCTTGTACCTGTATATAATCATACCAATAGTCTGGAACCCATTTAAATTGTGTAGAAAACTACTCAGGAGATCATGAGTACTCTCCTGCAGATGTTCAAAAAAACTAAGGAAAGTGGGATTTGAAGAGGTAGGCTGCATGGCTATATCATTACATACCTTACATTAAATTACATACTAGTAATTTAATCCAGTCTTTACATTTTTTTATATATTTATAATTAATAAATATATAATTGAAAATAAATATATAATTGAAACATAATTCCAGTTGCTTGTATATGTGGGCAAATTCATGAATGGAACTGTTGAGGATTAAAAAATCTGAATGTTATAAAATCACCAGCTTGATTCTGTTAAGGAATAAACAATATGTACACAAATCCTTTTAATAGCATTATCCATCTCCCACTATACTGATCATAATTTACTATGAAAAAGGCTCACTCATTATAGATAGGACTTTGAAAAAATAAATTACTTGGATAGCAATATGGTTGTAACAGAAAAAGAGAAAAGAAACTATTTTTATTATGCTTTTCTTATAAATTATATAGCTGTACTTCAAAAAAAAACCCTTCCTGCTCAGTGTTGTTTTATAACTTCACAACATAAGCAGAATGTTTTGTGAAAAACTGATCAAATAGCAGGCAAATATGATAAAGCGAGGATGATCAAACTATGTTATGAATGCTTAGAATCAGTTTTTAAAATTAGCTATTGATATTTACTTACATTTATTGATATTGAATAAGCTAGGAAAAATATTCTGAACTTGAGTAGCATTATTTGGGTTTGTACAGCTTATGTTTGCATGTTATCAGTAGAATAGAATAGAATAGAATAGAATAGAATAGAATAGAATAGAATAGAATAGAATAGAATAGAATGATGCAAGGGGTGCGCGCATGCGTGGGGGGGGCACGTGCATCGGCAGGAGCGGGGTGCATTCACGGGACCACGCACGCATTGCATTTTGGGGGTTTAGGCACGTGCGCACTTTGGGCACTCAGTCCAGAAAAGGTTAGCCATCACTGTAATAGACAATACAAAACAAAACAAAAACTTTATTTGGCCAAGTGCGATTAAACACACAAGGAATTTGTCTCCAGTGCAGAAGCTATCAGTCTACATGCAAAACAACAGAGTAATAATTAATAACAATCATAATAATGATATCAATAAGAGAAGATAGTTGAAAAGATGAGAAGGATAATAGTCATAGTCATACTATGTGGGTAAATAGACACAAGACAGTGCTGTGGGAATTCAGCAGCGATGGCAGGAGGGGAAAAAACTCTCTGTGTCTGGTTGTTTTGGCATGCAATGTCCTGTGTGGTGTCCCGAGGGGAAGGCTAAACAATGTTGAAACAGTATATGTCCAGGATGTGAGGGGGTCTGTTGATATTTTCTCAACCCTTTTTCTGACCCATGCAATACACTGGTCCTCACTGGAAGGCAGCCTGATTGCAGTTGTTTTTCTGCAGTCCTGATTATCCATTGAAGTCTGTACCTATCCCATTTGGTTGCTGTAGCAAACCAGAGAGTTATAGAATTACAAAAGACAGACTCAATAATTTCTCTTAGAACTGTATCAACAGGTCCAGGGCAGTCTGAACTTTCTGAGTTGATGCAGTAATAACCTTTGTTGAGCCTTTTTAATGATACCGGTAGTTCTGATGTTAGGTGTTCATTTCACATACCATGTTTTACAGGACATTAACAATTTAGAGAGTAGTTGCAGACTATTAATTTTAAAGTTTGCTCACTATAGCTGTAAGAGGATGTATTATTATAATTATTTTGTACTTTTGTTGCTGTAATATTAAAATGATGAGATCGCACTTACTAATTTTAATTAAATTACAATATATTCAATTAAAGACAGAACTGTATATAACAATAAAATTTGATCATCAAAATGTTTTAAGTTTGAGTTTATTAATCATATATTTCTTCTTCTAAACAGGAGAGGGAATGGAGGAGACGGGAAGGACAAGATGCAGCATTTAAAAATATTAATGAACAGGAGCCAAAGGGAAAAGAGACCAAGAAAGAAAAGAAGAAAAAAGCTACAAAAGTCAAAGATGAACTCTGATCAATTAAATCATTATATAATTATTGTCACTCAATCTGGTCATCACTGCTGGGTAGTATTGTACTTATTTTCTAAATGTTACCCAAAATGCAGTGGTGATATGAAAATTCTGACAATTTTTGTACTACTACTTTCCCCGAAAATAAGACCTGTCTTATATTTTTTTGAACCCTGAAATAAGCGCTTGGCCTTATTGCCATGCGCTCAAAAGCCCAATTGGGTTTATTATCAGGGGATATCTTATTTTGGGGGAAACAGAGTAGATGGCAGTTGAATATCCCAGAAAACATGTATAGTTTCTATAGTTTATTTTATACATATCTGTCTCTGTAATATTACACTCTATTGGTGTTCAGAAGGAGGATTAATTTCCCGAAATCATATAGATGGAAGAACTTACACACTGCAGAGATGTGAGACACATAATTCACACTTATTGATCACTAAACCATTCCTGAATTGAAAGGGAGAGTAATTATTTTCAAATACCCATAGATAGTCTGAAATCTGAACGAAACTACTATAATCAGAAGTACAAGGAGACCTTATGTGTTATTTGTTAATTGGGTCCAGGTTGCATGGTGAAATGCTGTGTAAAAAAAATCCTCATGCTTGATGGATTTTTTTGAATTTTCTTGTGATTATTTTTGGCTTAAAAAGGAACTGAAATAGGTCATATGAGAGACATATGAATCAACCATCCCACTAAATCAGAAAAAAGACGTATAATTATTAGCAAAAATGGATTAATTGTAAAGTCATAGAATTGTCAAATTGGAAAGTATCACAAGGGTCATCTATTCCAATCCTATGCAGTGTGCAAGAAAACCTGTTTAAAAATATCCAGCCTATTCTTAAAAACCTCCAGAGATGAAGAATCCAAGTCTCTGGCTTAAATCTTTGCCTTCCTCCCATTCATCACATGAAAAACTCTTCCTAAAAATCTAGGCTTGATAGGCCATGCCATTTGGGTTTACAGAAACTGGAACTCTTAAATTTGATTTCAAATCCCCAAAATAGCCTCCATTCAGATGCCGAGGCTAGTCTCTCATTAATGAATCTTTTGTGATATGGGAAGCTAATATTTCACAGTATGATTCTTGTTACTTTTTTGTTTAGCATAGTAGGTACAGAATACATTTTGATACAGATCTATAGCTTACTGTAGAATATTTTACATCACCACTTCTTTCATGCTTAAGTCTTCCTGAAAAACTGTGGGAAAAACTGGTAGCTACCACCATGTATAACCATATGACTAAACAATAAAAGAGCTCTTCCTATATTTATACATAAGAATAGCTTTCTAATGTCATTAACCAACACTTTCTCCAATATTGGATGACTATAATTTGCTTTTTGGTTTCTTCTTGCAATGATTTTTTAATAATTACTAGTCTATCCATATAATCCCTTCCATCCCTTATAAAGGAAAGGCCCCAAACACGGATTGGGGCCTTTTATAGACAAGACTTGTTTATCTCCATTCACAAAATGTCTAGCAGCGGATGAGACAGAAGAAATAACCATCTCTTTTCGCATTACACTGAATATTATTGTAAAGATCATAATCCCAGAGTGAGGGTTGGTGATGTTTCTCTGAGAGAGTAAAGAACCATAGGCTTTGAAAGAGGGAGTGGTACAACTTCTTTTGAGGAAGCCACCTCTTTATCTAGCCATTCTTGCAACTTTAACCCAGTAGCCAATCTTCCTGTTCTAACAAAATTGAGAAGCTATTTGGGAATCAGGTATTGTACAGAAGCTCATAATTTAAATTGGTTATTTGAAATCTTTTCAGTATGGATTCTGGCCTAGGCATGGAAATACACATTGATCGCTAGGGTAGATCACTAGGGCCTAGAAGATGGGAATTTGCCCCACTTCTATTAGAACTGCTATTAGACTTCTCAGCAGCTTTGCACTAACAAGTATGGTACAAACAGGTTAAATCCCAACAAGAAAAAGTTATTGTTTGTCCATGAACATTGATTTATTGACAGGACTACATTCCCACTGAAGAAGCAGATCTGCAATTTACAGACCCTTCTGGATTCATGGGTCCTATTAGAACAGCAAACTGGTTGGAGGAGCTTTGCCCAGTTTATGTGGATCCACTAATTGTAACCCCCGTGAACTCTGAAATTCTGTTGCTACACTGATTCATGTATTCATCACACATGCTTAAGGCTATTGTATGCTCTATTGGGCTGTCTCTCACGATAATCTAGGTAGAATCTATAGTTTGTACAAAATGTGACAGTCAGAATGCCAGCATTGCTGAATAGGATTCTCCATTTGCTGCACTGCCTACCAATAAATGTCTGACGTGAAGTTAAATGGCTGGATTTGACCTAACCAGTCAGAAATGAAGAAGCTGCTTGGATGAGAAATGAAACATTAAAAAAACAAGAAAGTCCAGTTGCCTTTGGAAAAGCATCTTTGGGACAACCATGACCTGGATGATTGACAATCTCCATAAACATTTGGAGTGGAATCACAGCATTGTAGTAGTTTTCTTCTCTTTATGGCCAGTTCCAGCTGTTTGGGGGGGGGAGGGGAAATCTAACCCGAGAGAAGATGCCTTCTCACTCCTATTTAAAAACTTCTAAATGAAGCCTTTAGTGAAGTCATCAGTTGGCATAGCTTAACTTTAGATCAACCAAGCAATGCCATCAAAGTTCTGTCTTCATGTCTGGACATTATCAGTCTGGATGCAAAAGAGAATACTCAGTAGGCTGAACTCTAGTAAGCCAAGTGGATTTTGGAGGTACGGTATTTTGATCTGCATATTCTATTGTTGATTCTGAGTGGGATTGCACTATCCAGAAGGAAGTGCACAGTTTGGAAGTCCTAGATTCACAGCTTCTGTTCAAAGAGCAGGACACAGCTAACCACAGTGGATTACAGTTGTAACCCAAGAAGGCCTTTGACAGATCTATCTGGTTGCCAATATAAAATCGCGTACAGAAAATATGGAAAACTACCATAAAATAGTGCCTTTCACCCCAAATTACTTAACTTACTTATTAAATTTGTTTGTATCCACAAGATTCTTGAAGCTGTCCAAAAGTGTACCATGGTTGATATCAAAAGCTGTTGAGAGACCAAGGAGCACAGGGATAGATTCATCATCCACATCTTGGCTCCACTGCAGATCATTAAGAAATCTGATTAATGCTATCTCCATACTGGCTTGAAACCTAACTTAAATGGGTCCAACTATTCTCCTTACCAACTTCCCTAAAAAGAGAAGATTAGAGACTGTAGTTACTCATGACCGTTGAGGCCAATAATAGGTTCTTGAAGAGAAAATGCACCACAGCCTCCTTTGAAGCTAATGGAATCACTTTCTTACTGAAAAGCACTGACAAAATCATATGCAGTTTTCATTACCAGGAAGGACATAAATCTAACAAACAGGTGATGAAGATAACATATTGTAGAATCCTCAGAAATCACAAAATCAAACTTACGGATAAGTATGTAACTAATCCTTGACTTATGACTGCAATTGGAACCAGAATTTTCATTGCTAAGCAAGGTGGTTGTTGAGTTGACCTGACTTTACAACTTTGTGTGGACCAGTCATAAATCACTTTTGTTACCCCCTTTATAAATTAAATCGCTAAATGAATGGCTGTACGTCAAGGACTACCTCTACAAGGCCTTCTTCGAGGCAACCCCACAGGAACTGAACAGTTAAGACGCCAACTTTGAGCCGATCTGAGCAACTATCTGCCAAATAGCACAAATATTTCTCACAACATCCCCAACAGGGAGTAGAGGGTTGCCCAAAATGGTACAGAAAAACATAATAAAAGCAGAAATTTTGCTGCCCCTATTGTCAGGATGATGTATTCTCTAATATGGGTTCTTACTCTTCCTCAGTCAGATTCACTCTTCATCTTCCTCCTACAAACTCTAGGCATCTCTTCACACACTTCGTTTCCTGGAGTTCTTCAGAAAACCAAGACACCAATAAGCTGAAAAGCAAGAAAGTGATTGCTATGTCCTCCAAAATCAGATCACATCTCAGCTGCCCTGAAGAAATGTGAGACCTCCAATATGCATCAGGCGCGTGATGACTTGAGACAAACCCATGGTTGCCAAGGAGGAGATGAACTCCCGAGTCACCCCAGACTTAACATTGCCAGGTGACAAATTGAAATCCCTGAGCAGCATAAGCCTTGGGATCTCAATATGCTTCAGTTAGTTCCCTAAAGATCAAGTTGTTGAGACACTTGGAGCTCAGATGGCTCTACTCTGTAGCTGCATCACTTAAATTTGATAGAAAACACCTAAGCCATGAATGAACAGTTAATAGTGTGTGTGTGGGTGGGGGGGGGCAGCAAACACAACTAGTAGCACAATTTTTCCAGGCTATAATAGTTTCTTCAACCCTAGCTATTTCCCACAACTGCATCAATGAATGATTTTGACTTGTTGCAAGCTTGGTGATCATTTACTTTTTCTAGAAAAATCATCCAATTTCAATGGTTGGTCAGATTGCTTGTACTCTATCCCTTCTTTTTCATTATCCCTAAACAGAGCATATACTATTTATAGTTCTTCATTAAAATAACCAACCTTGATGCTTCTCAGTGAGCAATGATGAAAGGATCTCTTTTTTGTGTCATACTGAAAGACCATTAGTTCAACAAGAAGTTCCATTTCTAATCAACTTCATCATATAATTATAAAGATGCCCTCAAGTTGAGTTCAACTTCTAACTGAAGTTCAACTTGCATCTATCCAGTTTTCTTAGTAAAATTACAGGGTAGTATGCCATTGTCTTCTAGAATGTTTTTTAACTTCTCAGTCTGCTCAACACACAGCTTCTGCATACACACCAATCAGAGACTTATAGCATTCAAGGCAGGGGTGGGTTCTACATTTTTTTACTACCGGTTCTGTGGGCGTGGCTTATTTTGTGGGAGTGGCTTGGAGGTCATGTGACTGGGTGGACGTGGCTATGTGTATAGGGATACTACTGAAAAAAGTCATTTCTGACAGGTCCTCGCACTTTTGACTGGTCCTCACACTTATGACCATCCTCACATTTATGCCCGTGCAGCATTCTTAACAACCATGTCACTCATTTCACAACTGCTTCTCTTCACCATGGTGATAAGATAGGGCAAAAAACGTAAAATGTGAAGATAGTCGTAAATTCGAGGACTGGTCAAAAGTGCGAGGACCAGTCAAAAATAACTTTTTCAGCCCTCTGAGGAGTCCATATGCACAAAAGGATACAGCAATAGAGAGGGATGAAGGAAGGAGAAGAGAGATGGAAGAAGGAAGGAGAGAGAGGGAAGGAAGAGAAGGAGGAAGGAAGAGGAAGTAGGGTGGAGAAGAAGAGGGGTGGGAAGAGAAAATAAGAAGGAAAGAAAAGAGAGAGGTGGTAGGTTTGAGGAGAAAGATTGCTGTACAATAAAAAAGATGAAAGGGAAGAAAGGCAACCCCAAACAAATATAAAGATATTAAGATAAAGAATGAATTGTTAAACTTTAAAGAATAAAAGAGAACAAATATGAATAAATAGCAATAATTAGAAACACACATACAAACATACAATGTATTTTCTTTGAACAGAGTATTTGGCCAGTTCACAAATTTAAACAGTGTTTAGTCATTTCAATTAAATTTACAATTTCTATATTTCCTTTTTGCCATATTTATTCATTTTTTAAAAAAAAAACCAATATTATCCTTCATCCTCATCTCTAATCTTAATCAAATTCCATTTTTCCCTTCTATTCTATATTATACCCCTTCCCATTGTCATCTATTTTTATATCCATCTTCACATTGGTTAATTATGTAATATTACAGTTGTTTAATACAAATTCAATATTTTAATATAAATCAATTAGTTATATAACTATCTTTTTGTATATTAATCAATATGAACATGAATATTCCAATTATTTCCATGCAATCCAATTTCTTACAAATCAATTAATTATATTTACCAATAATAATAAACCAAATAATTTCCCCCATATATTCCTCCAAACCACAACTTAACCATTTCTGCTTTCAACACAATATACAATTAATAGTATCTAAATTAGTACAATTCCCTAATTAAATAGAGCTTTTTTTCTTTTGTGTTTTAAAATCTTGAACTCTCCTCTTTTTCCCTAAATTTCCCATTGTTTGCACCTACCTTTTTTGGTGAGGAAAAAGAAAAAGAAATCTCTCTGCCTCATTTTGTCATTGCAGCAAAGAACCTGCTTTACTTTCAGTTTTGTTTTTTCAGCATAGCTAGGGGGGAAAAAATCTGCTCCAAAACAGCAGAGAGCAAATCATCAGAGAGCCTGGAGGCCGATCTAATCAACTTGCGCTAATTAACCTATGCTGAAGCTGAAAGGGGCTGTTTTTTCTATTTTTGCAGGCAGCGGTCTACTCATTTGTTTTAACACTGATCAGCTGTAGGGCAGCCCCTTGAAGCCCTCGGCAAGAGTTTAAACAGTTTTTTTCCCTCTAGCCATCAGCTGGGACTCAGATTGGGAGTGGGCAGGGTAAGCGAACGGCGACTAGGCCGGGAACCGGTTCGGGGGCGTGGCCAGCCAATCTTATTACTGGTTCTCCAAACTATTAAATTTTTTTTACTACCGGTTCTTGCAAACCGGTGCGAACCGGGAGCAACTCACCACTGATTCAAGGCAACACTATAACTTATTTACACAGTCATGGATAGTTTAATATAGTTCTTCTTTATAATATAGGCAGTCCTTGTTTAATGACTTGTTCAACAACTGTTCAAATTTCTTACAGCACTGAATGAGTTGTACTTACAGCTAGTCTTCAAAGTTCCATCAGTCCTTAGGCCATGTGATCATGATTCAGGTAATTGACAAGTGACCCAGATTTCTGACCATCACATTATGCTATAGTCATATAATCATGATTTCCATCCTTCCCTACCAGCTTCCCCTAAGCAAAGTCAATGAGGAAGCCAGCAAGAAGTCAAAATCTATGATCATGTGAGGTCCTCACTTAACAACTTGCAGTGATTTGCTTAATGACACTAACTGGGGATTGCCATAATTGATGTTGCTAACCATAGTGGACACATGACATTGCTCTTCACAACCATATTGCTTAGCAATGGAAATTCATATCTTAATTTCCATTGTTAAGCAAGGACTATCTGTATAATTGAATTCCAATGTTGTTAATTATGACTTGCTTAATCATGATTAATTGAATAGCTGGATTTGCACAATAGTCTAAACCACAAATGCTTAGAATAGACCAATTGATTCTAAAAGGCATTAGTCATTATTAATCTGTAAAGAAAACATTGGTTTTTAATAGGAATAAAAGTGGATAAGAAACTGTTTGGAATAAACTATAAAAAGGCAAATCTCAACTTCTTATGCTTACTGAAATATCATAACATTAATCTGATATGCCTATTGATCATTATGCAATAAAATTATTTCAGGCTAGTTTTATTTTTGTCATAATTATATGAATTTTGACATACATATTAACTGAAAATTTTATAGGTAAATAAGTAAACTTCTGGACAATTTCCATTTGTTTTAATGGAGCTCCTCAGGAGGAACTGAGTAATTTGTAGATATATCTCCTACCTATTTACAGAAATTCATACTCTCCAGAATTCAGGGATTAAAAATAGAGACACATCTGAGGGAATCTAACACCACTTCTGAACATCTCTGAGCACTCCTTTTCTCAAGTCCATTATTTTAAATTGCTTCTGCAGGCCTTCACTTAAAAAACAACAACAATGCACTGATTTTACTATTCAAGAAGGGTGAAGATCAGCCCCCTGAAACTGAATTTACTTTTGAATATATACGCATAGATCCGCACTGTCCTTATTATAGTGAAGATGGACAAAGGACTTTCTGTCAGCCACAACAGAAGCATAATTCACAAATGCCCTAAAATAGTTTGAAAAGAATCGATCTAAGGATTACAGGCCAGTTTAATATTCTTTTAGTTGTCAGGAAGTGGTTTGGACACTAAAGAGACTATCCTTTCCACGTTTACTCGGTTTGAGAATGCCATCGAATGCTGTGGGATTTACCCTGAATAAATACTTCTAGATCTAGACTCTCTCGGGTCATCTCGAGTTCATCCTAACGCGCCCAACGAAAACCAATTTTTTTTTTTCAATCCACCCCGTCCTCTGAAACCCAGGCCATGTATTTACGGTTGCCGCTCTAACTGGAGCCGTTCCGAATAATCCGGGCCGGAGAAACATGTCGCGTTAATAACGTTCTTAAGGCCGAATTCAGGGACGGAGAGGTGGCTCCGATCCAGACGGACTTTCGGGGAAATCCGACTCTCCGGGATTTGTCGCGTAGCGAGAGGGCGGGGCCAGGCCGGGCTTAGCTCGGGGAAGTTGCTGAAGTTGGAGCGAGCGAGGGCTGAACCTGGCAAGCGCTTTGCTCGGGCGGCCGGGGCCTCGCCGTGGGTGTCTTCGGGTGGGCTTCTCCTTTCGGCTCGGGCGGTGCATGATGGAAGCAGCATGGCCACTCATTTCTCCCTGACCCAGGTAGGGGCTTCCCGGTGAGGGAAAGGCGCTGTGATGCGCGAGGGTTGGGGGTGGGTGGGTGGGGGGAAGCAGAAGAAGGCGGCGGCAAAGCAAGGCAAGGCAAGGCAAGGCAGGCGCTGAGCTGGCCTCCTCTCGCGAGGAGCAGCGGGGGTCTCGCTTCCCAAGCGCTGGCGCAGAATCGCCGCCTCGCAACGTCGTCGTCGTCGTCCGCTGCTTCTCCCCGAGCTCTTTCCCACCTTCGCGTCTCCCACTCCCTATCCCGGCTGCTCGTAGAAGGGCTTCCGCCCGGCTCTTTTCCCCGTTCGCACGTTTCTCTCTTACCCCCCCCCCACTCCTCCTCCCCCCCCTCCCTTGGAGCGTTAATTATTTGCATCGTTGGGCGAGACGTGCGGCATCTTTTTCCCGCTCTGGGTTCTCCTCTTCCCCCCCCGCCCCCCCCGGTAGCTCGCTCTCGTGGTTTCTTCCCTCCTTCGCCTTCCTCATCTCTTCCCCCACCTAACTCGGCTTATAGTCGGAGAGCCGAGCGAGCCGCCCTCTTCGACGGTGCCGTGTGGACGCACCTCGCCTTCGCCCCCCCCCCCCCCCCCCCCTTTTAGGCCCGCCCCCCCCCCCCCCCCCCACGGCTGCTTGAGGAGTGAAGCCGACCTTCCAAGGAAGCGCTTCTTGCCGCCTCAAAACATCGGCTCCTTAAAGGGCCGGAGAGGGATTCCTCTCTGCAATTCCTAAGTGGGCGTTCATTTCTTTTTCTTTCTTTTTTTTCTTTTCCGGCGTCGATACTGTATGGGTGTTAACCGTATAATAACTGTCTCGGTTATTATTATTATTTTTTAAATGGGTATTTCAATGGTGTTCAGTTTCGGAGTCTTCCCAGTGGGTTTTCCCAGTCCAGGGATTGGCATTTCTGGCAACTGGATATTGCTATTATTTCCTTCATACTCCATAGTCCATGTGACTGCTTTTCAATCTGTGATCTGTTCTTATCAAGTCCTTCAGTTTCTTTGGAGAGACACATTCATGTTTAGGCCCCTGTATTTCTTTTCCACTTGGGCTTTTGGTAAGATTTCTGGGGTTGAAAATGTTAAGATAAGAAATGTTAAGATAAGAAAATGTTAAGGAGCTCTGGTGGCTCAGCAGACTAAAGCACTGTGATTAACATCCACTTACATCTGCTGCCTGCAATTACTGCAAGTTCAAATCTCCCCAGGCTCAAGGTTGACTCAGCCTTCCATCCTTTCTAAGGTAGGTAAAATGAGGACCCAGATTATGGGGGCAATAAGCTGACTGTGTATAAATATACAAAAGTATGAAGGCTTTTGCTTAAAGCTGCCCTGAGTCTCCGGAGAAGGGCGGCATACAAATCAAATTAAAAAAAAAAAGATATTGCTCAGAAGGCATCTCATAAACAACAGAGGTATGTTTAATAAATTAATGGAAGAGGAAACTTGGCTTCCTCATTGTAATTTGAGGACTGTAGCTTATTTTTCAAGGATTCTGTATCTAATGGCAAGCAAGAACACTAAAAAAAATATTACTTTTGATTATAATCATTCGAGATGCTACTGGGTAATATAGAACTTCTGAGGGAAAATTCCAAATTGTGTTCCTAATTGAAATTCAAGTATATGAATTCCTACTTTCTTTCTTTCTTTCTTTCTTTCTTTCTTTCTTTCTTTCTTTATTTATTTATTTATTTATTTATTTATTTATTTATTATTATTATTATTATTATTATTTCAATTTATATACCGCCCTACTCCCGAAGGACTCAGGGCGGTGAACAGCCATAGAATAAAACATATGAATACAAAATTTAAAATAAAGTAAAACAAATAATTTGGCTGAAAATTTAAAACCCCAATAATTTAAAACCAAATTTAAAATTTCCATTTAAAAGGGGAAAGACTTAGGTCAGGCCAGTTTGATGAAATAAGAAAGTCTTGAGCGCGCGACGGAAGGTACGCAGATCCGGGATCCTCCGTATCTCCTGGGGGAACTCGTTCCAGATAGTAGGTGCCCCCCACAGAGAAGGCTCTCCCCCTGGGGGCCGCCAGTCGACATTGTTTGGCCGACGGCACCCGGAGGAGCCCCTCTCTATGGGAGCGTACTGGTCGGTGGGAAGCTATTGGTGGTGGCAGGCGGTCCCGCAAATAACCAGGTCCTAAGCCATGGAACGCTCTAAAGGTGATAACCAAGACCTTGAAGCGCACTCGGAAGACCACCGGGAGCCAGTGCAGCTCGCGCAGGAGAGGTGTTACATGGGAGCGCCACGTCGCTCCCATTACCACCCGCGCAGCCGCACTCTGCGCCAGTTGGAGCCTCCGAGTGCTCCTCAAGGGGAGCCCCATGTAGAGAGCGTTACAATAGTCCAGACGGGAGGTGACGAGGGCATGAGTGACCGTGCGTAGGGAGTCCCGATCTAGAAAGGGACGCAACTGGCGGATCAGGCGAACCTGATGAAAAATCCTCCCTGTCACGGCCGTCAAGTGCTCTTCTAAAGACAGCCGTGAATCCAGGAGGACACCCAAGTTGCGAGCCCTTTCTGTGGGGGCCAATGATTCGCCCCCAATAGTCAGCGATGGCACCAGCTGACTATATCGGGACGTCGGAAACCACAGCCACTCGGTCTTGGATGGGTTGAGTCTGAGCCTGTTTCTCCCCATCCAGATCTGTACGGCCTCCAGGGACATCACTTCAAGGGCATCGTTGGGGTGGTCTGGGGTGGAGATGTACAGCTGGGTGTCGTCAGCGTACTGATGGTACTCTACCCCAAAACCACGGATGATCTCGCCCAGCGGCTTTACATAAATGTTGAACAAAAGGGGCGAGAGGACCGATCCTTGTGGCACTCCACATATAAGGGGCCTCGGGGTCGACCTCTGCCCCACTGTCAACACAGACTGCGACCGGTCGGAGAGAAAGGAGGAGAACCACCGTAGTACGGTGCCTCCCACCCCCAACTCTTCCAACCGGTGCAGCATGATACCATGGTCGATGGTATCAAAAGCCGCTGAGAGATCTAAGAGGACCAGGACAGAGGAGCACCCCCTGTCCCGAGCCCTCCAGAGATCATCCACCAACGCGACCAATGCCGTTTCCGTGCTGTACCCAGGCCTGAAGCCCGACTGGAACGGATCTAGATACGTCGTTTCATCCAGGTATATCCACTTTATATGCATTAGAAATGAATCATGCATTTCAGAGCGGCTGATATATGAACACTTAACTTTTAGAAAGCAAGTTCTTAGTTACTACATGAATCTGTAGTTCTTGGAATCTTCAGTGTATCGGATTTATACTCCATCCTCTTACTGTGGTTTTAAGCAATCAAGGCAGTTTATATAAGATCACATAAGTTAGATGTTAGGGTAAATTGTTTATTTGAAACACTGCTCCATGGTGTTTATCATTAGGTGCTAGCGCATGGAACAATCAAATGAAATTTGAAACTGCTACTCTAACTTGAGAGCCAGTTGGGTGTAATACAGGGGTCTCCAAGCTTGGCAATTTTAAGACTTGTGTACTTCAACTCCCAGAATTCCCATGGCTGGCTGAGGAATTCTGGGAGTTGAAGTCCATAAGTGAAAGTTGCCGAGACCCTGGCATAATGGTTGATGCATCAGGCTAAAAACTGGGAAACTGGTTCTAGTCTGGCCTTGGGCACAAAGCCAGTTGGATAATTTGAGGCTTGTCACTTTCTCTTAGCCCTAGGAAGGAGGCAATAGCAAATCACTTCTGAAAAAAATTTGCCAAGAAAACTGCAGGGATTTGCCCAGGCAGTATTGGAGAATCAGATCCAATTGAAGGGAAGGAGGAAAAAAAACTTCATTTGTTTATAAGAAAACTGCACAGATGCTGTCACCAGGAGTTGATTTTAACTCAAAGGAGCTTTTACCATGTTGATAAAGTGGGAATGAAATTAGGGAATGGATATATGAACAGAAAAGAGGCTAGTATAAAGATAAAGCTGCAAAAAAATAGTGCTGTCATATGGGCTACCATCTTCTCTCCCCCCCTCTCCCTCTCCCTCTCTCCTCCTCCCTCCCTCTCTCCCCCTCCCCTTATATAAGTTTAAATGTGATATGAACACCTAAAGCAGCCGCAGTTTTCAGTTCCCAGGAATTTGAATTTAAAGCAACTGCAACTCACAAATTCATGGTCAAGTGAATTTTGGTTTACAGAAATAACCTAACTCCCCGGGTTCATACAAAATGCGGAACCAGAAATTTAAGCATACTGAGTCACAACTAGTCAAGTACCTATTTTCATAAGATATTATATATATTTGACATAATTCTGCTTTGAAAATGAAAAAAATATTTTGCACTAATTATAACTGGAAAATCTCAGAACTCTGTAAACTATTATTCTCTTCAAAGCAGAAAGTCTTAAGGAAATTGAATGTGAATTGAAACAGTATTCAGTAAAAAAGACTGATAAAGCTGTGCAACTGAGCTAGGGTATGCCAATAGTTTAATACAACTGAAATAGCTATGTGCTTAAAATTTTATTATGTGTGAATATTGCGTGTGAATATGAATGTCACAATTTAGGAACTTTATTTACTTTTGAAACTCACTAAGGTGAAAATAAACATCTAACTGCAATAAAACTCTTTGGAAGTATACTCTTTACCCTGAAAACAAGTTTGTTTCTACTGTGGCCTAATGTCATTTAAGTTCACTGCATCCATTGGTCAGAGGTTCATCCTTCAGGTCAAAGAATGTTAAGTTCAAGCAGCTTTTTTACATTTGGGCTGTCTCGTGGGATTTCTCTCTATTATTTCTTTCCACATTAACCTTTTTACAATATTATTGTGATGTGTGATCTATATTACTCTCATTAATAAGCCCTGGCAGATGCAAAAATATAAATGTTTTTAATTGAACTGGAAAATTTCCTTGAAGGGAAAATCGTAGTTGTAAAAATTGCAGGATGTCAAGAATTATTAGATTACTTTGTTTTCCAATTTTGATGACATATTTAATGTGAAATGCTGAAAC